CCAACTATTACTACTTGATTCGCCACTACTTTGGTATCCATCATGACTGGCTTGCCTAAATTGTGTTCTACTCCACATCATATGCAACTCTCCACTCCTCCTATCCTGTTTTTCAGCCTTCATTTCCATCTCTTTACTTCTAAGAGAATCTACGACAATTTCAGGTGTTAGCGTGTCCCTACCATACTTAATAGCATTTTTAACTTCTTTATAAGAGTCCGGGATTGAATTGAGCAAGATAATGGCCTTATAGGTTTCAGACACGGCTTCGTCACAATTGACAATATCTTGCACCAATTTATTAAATACATCTAGATTGTCGTCGAGATCCTTTGAAGGATCCATTTTAAAGCTGAAGAATCGTTCGAGTAGGTAGAGTTTTTTCGGTATAGATTTAAGCAAGTATAAGTCTTCTAGTCTTTTCCAAAGTTCTTTGGTGGTTTTTAGTTTTTCCACTTTTCTTAAGACAGCGTCACACAAGTGTAATATTATTGAGGTATAGGCAAGCTCATCGGCTTCCTCTTTTTGTTCTTTTGAGATATCAGGTGCAAAATTGCCTTCGATGGCTTTTGACACCTTTTGTTGGACTAGTACGCCTCTCATCTTTTGTTGTCAGATAGAGAAGTCCCCTTTACCGTTAAAAATTCCCAAATCAAAATTATGTGTTGTCATTGGTTAACACCCTAATTAAACCACACGAAGTAGTATTGGGGAACGTGATAAGGTAATGTCTTGTTAATTATTAGCAAAGGTAATAATGAACCTAAACGCTACGTCCACCAAGGAATAACAAGCACTTTAAATTAAAAGAACAAATACTTAATTAACGCAAGTAATCCTAATTCTAGCACACGCAATGGTTACCTCTTCACGGTAACCCCAAAACCTAACGATCACCCCACACGATGATCTTGCTATTGCTGAATTTAAATGGATTAAGCCAATTTACCAGAGCGGACCTATCTGAGTCCGTAAAGTGGAGAAAAACGAGCTTGCTGTTGAATTTCAATCGGCGTCGTACCGAAGGGCAAAATCGTCCAACTTTTTCTGTGTAACCTGAAACACAAAACAAAGTATATCAGCGCGTTCAGGAGATCGAAACAAACAAGTTACCTGAAGACTGCGTCGTCGAAAAATCCCCCACGCGCCGCCGCCGCCGCCACGCGCCGCCTCTCCTGGAGCGCCTCGGCCTGCTGATGATGGGTATGGCCTCCGTTTGTCCAACCGAGCTTTGGTTTGTGAGTAATTGCAAATTTTCAGATTCGGGTTCTAGGTTGAAGGTGCGAAAATCAGTCGATTTTGAGCCTTTTTTTGCCACCCAAGTTTTGATACCAGATGTTAGGACCTTCCTCTTGCTGCTCACGGTGATTTCCGGGCTCAGTTAACCATTAAACATCGAATTCAACATCAAAACCAAAGTCACCAACTCGCCGGCGCTACCCTCTCCTATGGTTGCTTTCCTCTCTTGCTTTGTTGATTCAATCCACACACTTAGGATGGATACCACACAGGTAAGAGTCACAAAGGCTCAAGCAATTGGCATGGAGAAGAAATCACGAAGAAGAAGAAGGCAGAAGGACATGGCAGTCTCTCTTTGGAGCTCACGGGTTCAATGGACGGCTTCAACTAATGGACCGGTTTCAATTAGGATGAAAACACCAATATATATAGTAAGTCAAGTGGCCAACATAAGGTAAGTAAGGATATGGTAAGTAGGCTCGACTAGGGTTAACTTCCAATGGAAAGAATCAACAAGCCACAAAGAGTATTAGCCGTCCAATAGGTAAGGCAACGTTTGGTCGGTTCATCCATTATTCGATGTTGAATTATCGTTCAGTCATTTATGTCGACTGATAAAATTGGTTCTCATCATCGCCCGGGAGGTCGTTTTACAACATAATTTCTAACAGGTTTTTTGCCACTTTGACAGAAAATTTGAAAAGACATAATTTGATAGGAAGATGGTTTGATAGAAAATCTGACTGTATTTAAAATAATTCAATATTATAATGTCACATAGCATTATATCAAACTTTTATGTTAAAAAGCATGATTCGATTGACTTTCTGAATCTAAAATCTTTTGGGTCAAGTTATTTAGTCTAAAATTCAAATGACTCCATATATCTTAAAAACTTTTACGGTATTTTTATTTTTGACAGGTGGGTATATATCGTATAGGATTTTAAAAATGTTTTTAGTCCAAATCTTGGACCAGCATTTTAGGCATTACCATGTCAGGTACCGTACATTTGGTTGCCTTGATTTATGTTGTTACGACAGTTTATGTAAATTTACAAAAGCATGTTGATGCCAAGTAAATTATTCATGTACACAAGAATAATTTAGGCTACTTCGAATTTTAAAAGATCTTGTTGTATCTATTTAATTTGATTTACCTTGGTCCTCTAAATCTCTAATGTCCAACGTATTCTCAGTGGCAACCCAGTACATTCTTCCTTATTATTTGGTAGTGTAACCATCACATGGAGTGTTGGTAATGGTAAAATTGATAATATATTTAGTAATAAATAAATTATATTTGATATTTGTTTATATTACACACACAAAAAAAAAGATAGATTATTCCAAAATGTAAGAATACGTTCTCTGTATTCATAGCAATGATTAATTGCCAAATAACAAATGTATAAAAGATGACATCTACCATGTGAAGCTCCATTTATCTAGAGAATAAGTCGATCTATCTTCTGGGATTTCTCATAGGAAAATACGGTATCTCCTATATGCGGTAGATCTCTAACTTCATTGCATACCACATTCTACAACTAGGGTTTGCGAAAACTCGTAAAACAATATTATCTAAAATCAAGTTTTTTCTATTCTTGAAAATAGTTCTGAAACTGTAAAAAATTCAAAAATCTCTTTAGAAAAGAAATTATGCATTTTTATACGATGTTGCCATATTGCTTCTTTTTTTAATTTTTTAAAAATAATGTTATTAAATATCGTGTCGTGTCATGTCGTGTGGCGCTTAATTTGAGAGAAAAATTGTTGGACAATTAACAAGTTCTTGGGATATGAATGTGCACGGGACATTGAACCAAGGATTAAATTTTTTTTTAGAAGAAGTGATTTCTGAATGGATTAAATTACATGATAATACATTTCCACACTATTAAGTATAATAATTGTGCCGTCTTCTAAATTGATGAGAAATTAAAAATGCTTAATTGGTTGTCAATTGGATTTTTTTAACTATTAAATATTTTATCTTTTGATTTAGTGGAATGATTCCTTCACCCAAAAAAAAAAAAAAAAAAAAAAAAAAAGGGTTTTAGAAATTTGTTATCATAATAATAAACATGCAATAAAATTGGTATCAGAGGTTTTATAATTTTTTAGTTCATTTTCGAAGTTAATTATATTTTAATCATATTTCATCTATTTTTAAATGAGAAAACAATTTTCACAAATATAAGATAAAATTACTTTGTACAAAAAGATACTAGAAACTTAACTTCTTTAGATTAAAACAGTCTATTTTATCTATTTTAAAATTAAGAAAAAAGTCAAATAAGAAAACAGAAAATAATACTATTTTTGGCATAAAAGGGTAAAAGACAAATCGATACTAATATGAAAGGTGTATATAATTTTCGAATCAAGAGAATCTGGAGAAGTGAGGGATTAGGCATGGTGGATTAGGGTTGGCTCATATGCTAACTAGCCTTCTAGCTATGAAGTTCTTCTTGATCGATGATTGAATTTCAAGTGTGTTTTCATGTGATGACTTATGACGTTTGGTTTTGGTTTTCACTTATATATGATTGAAAATGGTTAATCAGGATTCCAAGTAATAATTTTTTTGAAGCTTATACTATAATGATGAATTTGGAACTTTCATACATCGATGTTATTCTCCCTGCTTTCACAATAGTGTTACAAGAATAATTATCAAACGTGGTAAGGTACCGAGTCATTGGTTCATTTGGTTGGATTCATAGATCGTTGGTCGAGTCGATGTTTACTAGCTTGGTGGTTTTCCTACCGATAGCAAAACCTTTCTTGCAAATAATATGGAGGAACAGATGGTGAAGACATTGAAAATAGCGATGAACTTGTAACAAAAACCCCAAAAAGGAGACCTAAAATGCCCAAAATCGTGAAGATGTTAGGATATTAGACTGATAAGTGATGAATACAGGATATCGCCTTCGCATTGTGCAAATAGCCTGTGAATATTTCCAACTTAGTTTTAGGCATTTAGCTCTGTATGCAGTATCTACATGAACTAATAAAATATGGACAAGTTAAAGCTATATTACATTCGCATGCAATCTCTATTTATAGAAAGACCTCATCTTTCAGTTATCTCTATCACATCTGCATGCTTCTTAGTTGCAATTTGGCAATACAAAGTCACTCATAAAATGTTTGTTTTGTACAGAGATTGTTGATGTTGGTGTGATTGGAGAACATGGCAAGTACAGAGGTGCTAAATTTTTACATTTGATTAGTTGTATAGAGCCAATGACTTTTAGTAGTTAAAACTTCCTATGCTATTATAGACTAAGCTCCAATCGTTTGTAGATGGTATGTTTCTTAAACGAATTATCTAATTGAGATTTTACAAGCTTATATATGATAGCTTATACATGAATGTTTTATTCACACATATGTATTAGATCCAATACAACTTGCGATAGAATACAATGGTAAAACAATAGCATCTAACTTTTAAGCATTGCAAAAATTAGATAATAGACAATATTGCACAAGCTAAAGTTTTACAAATTAGTGATATGCTTCTCTGAGATGGATTTTGTAGATGGCTATCTTTACATACAATCAATCCATTTTGCGATTCCACAACTAGAAAAATGCAATTCTCCATGAGTGATTGAGCACGAAAGTTCCACATACCCCCCAAAATCCAAAAACGAACCCAACTGCCATACTAATGTAAAATCCATCATTGATTAGATTATCCTCCACTTGGTTTTTCATCCCATCAACGGTATGACCGATCTTTGGAACTTAAGCCATTTCATCTTCCGAACAAGCTTTTGTAAGTGGAAGGCCACAAAGTTCAGGGTTTCGCAAATGAATGCTTTGTGGAATTTTGCCCGACAAGTTATTGTATGACAAATCTAACACTCCAAGTTGATCCAATTGAGAGACGCTAGTAGGAATACCCCCAGAGAAGTGGTTTCTTGCAAAATCAAGAAAATCCAAAGACCTTAATCGTTCAATATTTGGAGGAAGGAATCCAGATAGGTTGTTTCTTGAAAGGTTCGATCCAACTAGCATTACAAGACTGGAAATTTCCGCAGGAACGTCACCTACTAAATTGTTGCTTAAAAGATCAATGAGCATCACCAGATTAAGAGAGTTTATGTACTCGGCATCCTTTCCTTTCCATGTTACAAATGCACTCTCAAATCTTCGTATGTAATGAAGAAGAAATGCGCTATCAAACTCAGAATCCACTTGAATCATAGCAGTGAGGTTGTTTACACATTTTGGCATACCACCAGAAATCTTGTTTAAAGAGAGGTCCGACACTTGTAAGTCTGCAAGACGACACAAATGGGAAGGAATACTACCAAAGAACTCATTGTACCTGAGACTCAGAAAGACCAAAGAAGTCCAAGTATCTCCCACCCATGTAGGTATATTACCAGTCAACTAATTTTGGGAAAGATCAATAAAAGTCATGAAAGTACAATTCCTCAACAATGTTGGAATTTCTCCAATGAAACTGTTGTTTTGTAAGTGCAATGATGAGGTGACATTTAGTGAAGGGATCTTTCCGGAGAAATTATTATGCGCCAAATTAAGATAATCCAAATTTCGCAGGTTTACAAAACAATTCGAAAGCTGTTCAGAGAGTATGTTATTCGAGAGGTCAAGATATCCACAATAACAATCAGTTTCATTGCATATATTGGTAACTGACCCAGAAATTTTGTTACTCGATAAATCCACTACAGATCCATTCGGAGGCAAAATTGGTAATGAACCATTAAAATGATTAAAGCTTAGATCTATGGATTTGAAAGTAGAGGACTTTGATGACAAATCAGGAAGGACACCATGAAAATTGTTATGTGATACATTTAAATTTGATAATTTTGGAATTTGCTCCAAAAACCAATTAGGGAAGGTGTCTGAAATTTCAGCATTAGAGATATCAAGATTCCGTAATCTCGTTTGTGTTCTAAACCATGAGGGGAAATGTGGACCTACTTTGGAACTTGCTAAATTTACACGTGTTAGTTGAAAAGGAGGATTCCATCCTAAACTGATATTGAATGAGATAGCTAGGTTGTAAGACAAGTCCAACACTTGTAATTGGGAAAGATTAAAGAAATTGGATTCAGTGATTATTTCTTCGAGGTTGTTTGAATAAAGAAACAAAGATTTGAGTTTCGAAAGGTTTCCTATGCACTGGGTCATGGTACCATTAAACATATTATGAGAGAGATCTAAGGTCGTTAACAAGAAAGATAATGCAGGACAAGGCGAATCCCCTGTGAGTTGGTTACCAGATAAATATAAAAGAGTTAAACTACACTTATTCCCCAAGGATATTGGAATCTCACCTTGTAATTTGTTGGAACCGAGGTCAAGAAAAGTAAGGCTACTACTTAAGTTAAACACAAAGGAAATAACCAAGAAGAAGAGAACTCATTTCCTGAGAGCTCTAAGTCAGAAAGAGAATTAGAAGCATTGAAAGGTCAGGGAGGAAGTACCATTAGCAGGTTACATGAATGTAAGTATAAAGGTTGAAGCTTAGTGAGCCTAGTTATCATTTGTAAATTGTGAGGTTAACATAGCTCATGTCCAAGTCACTTAATGAATGAAGTCGAGAAAGCCAATCAAGATTTATGCTAGTTAATGAACCATCTTCAGACGAGCCAAGATGAGGAGAATTCAATTCAGAAAGGTTGCCAAGATGATGTGGAATTTCTCCACGAAAATTAGAATAGGAGATCGAGATGCTGTAATCTACCTAGGGAACTTATGAATTGTGGAATCCTGCTATAATTCAAATCATTCTCTCTGAGGTCTAGATATTTCAAATGTTGTATTTCAAGCAACGAGACGCTAATGTTACCTCTTAGATGCATAAAACCAAGATCCAACTCAACAATATGATTAGTTTGATTGTCACAACTGACACCACTCCATTTGCAGCAATCCTTCTTATATTTTTCATTTTTCCAAGAAAAGAGTTGGCTATATTCATCAATAAGCTCATCTTTGTACTTGAGAAGAGCTTCTTTCTCCTTTTCTATGCACCTGATGCCAGCTTTCATTCCTGTAGAGCGTTCAAAAGTGGCTCTCCAACTTAGTAGGAGTACAATGACTAACAATTGGAGATTTTGAAAGAACTTTTGATCAACTATCATTTTGTGAACAGTTGTAACTAAGAATTTTCTGATATTCTTTTGTGGTTTTTCACCATTTAAGCAGACTACTTATAGCATCAGTTGTAAGAATGAATTTGTGTAGAAAGCTGTAGAAAAGACTATTCATATCAACAATAACTCCATAGAAAAATGTATTGACTTGTCAAATCAAAGTTCCAGTTATTAATAATCTTTGGATAAATAATGACTTCTTGATTAAACAAACAAAAAAGGAAGACTTGACTTAAACCCCACCCTCTGGTGCCAATTGGCCGTTATTGTTAGAAATGATTCCCCAATAATTCGTTGTGAATAATGAATATAATCAATACTAATTGAATAGAAAAATGTGTCTTTCTTTTAAATAACTTTTAATGTTATACGATGATAGGCTTAAGAATCCAATCACATGCTTTTATTTGGGGTGAAAACATAGACAATGAGAAATTATTGTTGCATACTTTTTAAATCAATGAGTTCCGATGAATGATGATGGCCAGAAAAAAAAAATTTGGATTTCTTGTAACAAAAAATAAATAAAAAATAAGTAACTTGACTTTACACCTTATTGGTTTTTATATTTGGAAAAGATTCTTCACGTGATTTGAAGTTGAGTATCGAATGACACATTTACAGAATAAATTATAGTTATTAGTTAGATAACCAGAAAAAATTCGTCACCCAAGAATTTCATTATGATTATGCTACAAATTAGTTTCTAAATGACGTTTGAAGTTAGGTATTAGACCAAAGTTAAATAAATAAATTTGTCCTTTTTCCTTAGTTTGTTCACCAATTTTGCCCGATTTCTGATTTTCATCCTCAATTTTGAGAAACATATCATATCTATGATAAACTTTTTTTTTTAACATAATCAATTCTTAACCTTTTAATTATGTAACAAAACTCATCATTCCCTCCATTTCAGACATATAAATAACTATTTCAATAAACAAAAATAAAAGGAAGAAGTAAAACAACAAAAATAAGAAAAAATTGCAAATATAGTAACACAAATTCCATCTTCTCCAGCCAAACTCATCCAACCACGACATCGACACTCACCCATCCAAATCCATTCTCATCTTCTCTCAAACACCACCTTTATAAATGCAATCACATCGACTACGACATCACCTTCATCCCTTAGAAAAGTTAATTACAGTAAACAATAGAAAAAGTTGAATAAAAAATTAGCAACTTAGATGGTAGAACCGCCACCATCACTAGGCTACGATATACAAGGAACAATATCTTTTTAATAGCATCAAGAATGTTACCTTGTAATTTCACTAAGGCCGCCACTGAAGTTAGACTTGACTTACCCCCACCTCCCACGCCCAGCACAATAGATTTTTATTTCTAGAAAAGATTTACCAGTGGACTATGATGGCGTGGAAAAATTTTGTTGACATATAAACGAAAATGGAGGACTTGACGTATCACCTCATTGGTTATTAGTTTTGGAAAAGATTATCCACATAATTCCAAAGTAAAGCACCAAATTACATGCTCAATTTTATATACCATACTTACTAGTTAAAAAAACCTAAGTCAAGGAGAATTTGGTTATGTAGTTTTGTCACGAATTAGTGTCTCATGTAATGTATTGATCAGAAAGAGTAATCAAAGGTCTAAAAGGTACAATCGAATCAAATTAGGGTCAAGGAATTAAATAAATAAATGAATAAAATTTGTCATATTATTGAAAAAATAGAACTTGAAATAATATAAAATTATAGTACCGGATGAAGTGAGCAATTCCTTGGGTTTTATACTGGTGTTTATTTTCCCCATTTTGCCATAAAACAAGATCGGTTAAGCCCCAGTCCCAATAAGCAAGCAAAAGTAAGGGGGCTAGTTGAAATGAATTAAGTGCATGAAATTAAAATAAAGCAAAGATAAGTAAATGAATTAAAACTAATTTGTTTAGTACGTTGCATCAAGAACAATATGGCACCATTCACAATCTATTTGGTTTTATCTCTATAGTTTGGATTATGAAAGAAATCCAACATATTGCTTCTGTATGACTACTCTGCAAGATTTCTTCTTCTTCTTCTTCTTATATAAAAAGCAAAATAGATTTGACTTAGAACATTTCTAAAAGGCTGTATAAATACTGTTAGATTTTGTGTTGGCTATTCTGTGAACAAAAGGGTAAAATTGAAAATGTTCAAAAGTTTGGGGTCAATTTGTCAATTATTAAAGGTTAGGGGTCATTGTGTACATGTGTAAAAGATGAGGGACTCAGTTGCAATTTTGGCAAAGTGTGCTAGGGTTCAAGATATGAAGTAGAGCAAGATGTGTCGTTGAAATTTCGATAGCTGCTCACCAAGTGGTCGCTCGAGCGACAAAAACAGAATGGTCATCGCTCGCTTCTCGCCCCCATTTCGCTCGAGCGAAACAACTCGCTCACTTTTCGCTCGAGCGACAGTGTTACCTATAAAACCCTATTTTCCTTTTTTCGACATTTTAACCCGACCAAAAATATCCAAATACACATATATGAGAAAAATCGCGCCGATTTCGAGTTGTGCTCTCAAGGTATTGAAATTGAAGAAAACTCTCCTACACTTTAATTCTCTCATTCAACCCCATATTTGATTTGAGCAATTACATGAAAAATATCAAATCAACATTCACCAAACACCACAACACAACCTTCTAGTGCCTTTGTTGATTCTTGGAGATTGAGGAAGGAGATCGAAGTCCCGATCATCAGAGAACAGGCGGTTATCTTGAATCCACAGGAGATAGACAAAATCAAGACCCGGGAATTGGTGTAGCATGCAATCCAGGAGGGCTAGGTGCCGAGAGTTGGTACAGGATCATGCGTTCCAGGAAGGTCTTGGGGAAACTATGTTCAGGATGTCAGAAAAACCTGTGTAGATTGAGTCTGGCTGATTGTAAGTTTCATTTTCGTTTATAGTGGATTCCTACTGGTTTGGGCCGGAGTTTTACCCACATTGGGGTTTCTCCATCATCAAACAATTGTATTATTTATCTTTCTGCAATTAATTTATGACCAAAATTCAAACATAGGATAGTAGATCATGTGAACTGATCTGGACAAATTAATTTTGTGATGTGTTGCAATTATTAATTGATTGAAAAAAGAAAATTCCATATAAATACCTATTCACCCCCCTCTAGGTGTTGATTGGGTCAAACTACGATATTTCAAGTGGTATTAAAGCCAAAACTCGAGTTCTGAACCACTGTTGTCTAGATGAGTCAATCACTGTCTGTGCCTCCGTATTTTGACGGAAGCAACTACGCCTACTAGAAGGTTAGGATGCGTGCTTTTCTTAAGTCCTTAGATGAACACGTGTGGGTGAGCGTACAAAATGGTTGGAAACCTCCTTCTACAACTGTGTCAGGTGTTGTCAATCTAACTGATATTTCACTTTGGACTAAGGAAGAATTAGCTGATTGAAATTGGAATAGCAAACAACTTCATCCCTTGTTTATGTCCGTGTCTCTCAAAGAATTTAGGAGAGTATCAATGTGTGAAACTGCTAAAGAGGTATGGGATATTCTAGAGACTACGCATGAGGGAACTAAAACTGTAAAAAATTTAAAATTGCAAATGCTAACCTCAAGGTTTGAAGAAATCAGGATGAAGGATGATGAATCTTTTGATGAGTTCTATGCCACATTAAATTACATTGTTAACTCTAGTTTCAACCTTGGTGATAGGATTCCCGAACCCAAAATTGTGAGGAAGGCTCTTAGATCCTTATTCGAGAGATTTTGACCTAAAGTTACAGCTATTGAAGAAAGCAAGGATCTGGATACAATTAAGATACAAAAACTCGTAGGATCCCTTCAAACCTATAAACTCACCATTTCACAACCAAGGAAAAATAAGACCATAGCCCTAAACACTGTTAGGGAAGGGGAGTCTGAGTCATCTGACATGAAAACTCTTAGAGATAACGAGATCGCCTACTTTGTGAAAAAATTTCAAAAAGTCTTAAAGGGCAAAAAAAGGGCCTCAAGAGAAAAGAAGAGGAGTCCTTAGTAAATTGCAAAGAGAGAAGAATGATAAATCAACTACTAGGAACCCTGGTAAGAAATCTCAAGGGGTTAGGTGTCATGAGTGTCAGGATTTGGGCACTATAGAAATGAATGTCCTAACTTTAAGAAAAATCTAAAGAAGGGGAGTAGGAAGACATTAACTGTGTCCTTGACTAATGATGATTCTAATTTAAGTAAACAAAGTGATTCCTCAAGCAGTGAGGAGGAAAAGGGCTATATGGCTTTTGTATCTACTGTCAAGAGCGAGTCAGACAAGGAGAGTGAGAAGGTTGAGGAGGAAGTGGAGAGTAACAAGTCCGGTGATGATTTGGAGGATGAGACGGATATACATGAGGCTTATCAACTTCTGTTTAAGGAAAGTCTCAAGCTCAAAAAGGTAAATAAAGCCCTATTTAAGAAGGTAGACGAACTTGAGAGAGAGAAGGAGAAAATCACCTATGATCTTCAAGTCTCATCTAAGAATCTTAGTGAGTTGAAGTGTGTCAATGAGAAATTGGAGGACAAGGTCAAGACATTGACCCGTGAATTAGAGAAATCCCACACTCAACTACAATCATTTGTGAGTGGAACTGAGAAACTAGATGATTTGTTAGGAATGAACAAACCATTTGGAAATAGACAAGGTCTAGGATTTGTGAAGAGTGATAGCAATGTGTCTAGTTCATCAAAGATCATATTTGTCTCCGCTTACAGCAGATCTAATGTTTCAACAAATCCAGAATCCAAAGATAAAAATTTTAATGGACTGAAGGCCACTAGAACTCATATGATTTCTACACCTAATTTTCATAATCAACACTCACGTACATCTGAACCTAGGTTCATACCCACTTGTCATCACTGTGGTGACTTAGGCCACATGAGACCTACGTGTCGAAAGCTAGCAAATAGGAATCGAAGTCAGGATATCCCTAGTCAAGTGAACTTCCTTTCAAATCAGGTTAGCCACTTAACTAAGATGGTAACAAGGTTGACTAGGATCACCTCGACCTCGAGAAAAGTTTGGGTAAAGAAATCTGATGTGGGTGAGTATACTGAGAATCTAAAATGTTTTGTTGCTCATGTTGCATATAAGGCTCAAAATACATGCATGTGGTATCTTGATAGTGCTTGTTCTAGACACATGTGTGGTAACAAGGCCTTATTCTCTACCTTTGATGACTACAACGGCGGAGTAGTTAACTTTGGGGATGAAGCTACGGCACCCATCCGAGGTAAAGGCTCCATCACCATTGCTGGACTTCCTACAATATCCAATGTACTTTATGTAGAGGGTCTTAAGTCCAACTTATTGAGCATTAGTCAAATCTGTGATGCTGACTATGAAGTGAGTTTTATCCAAAAGAGATGCATTGTTTATGATGCTTCTGGTGGTGTTGTTCTTGAAGGTGTTAGAACATCTGATAACTTTTATGGAGTTCTTTCAAACTCGAACTATGTATGTAGTTGTGCTAAAATTGATATGTCTGAACTTTGGCATCAATGGCTCGGTCATGTTAACTACAGAAGTCTATCTAAATTGGTCAAAAAAAAAAGATTGTCGATGGTTTACCTAAAATTGATCAAAGTGAGAATGCTGTGTGCAAGCCATGTCAACAAGGAAAGCAACTCAGGATTAACTATAAGCGAACCTCGAAAATCTTGACGAATAGACCCCTAGAGTTTCTCCATATGGATTTAATGGTACCATCTATGGTAGAGAGCCTAGGAGGCAAACGGTATATCCTGGTTGTGGTAGATGAGTTTTCTAGATACACCTGGATTGATCTGTTAAGAGAAAAATCTGAGACGGGTGATTCGGTTAAGTCCTTATGCAAAAGGCTCAAAGTTGAACAAAATCTTCCTATTTCTAGGGTTCAAGGTGATAATGGAAAAGAATTTGAAAACTTCAATCTAGAAAACTTCTGCTTGGAGAAGGGGATTGAGCATAAGTTCTCCTCACCAATCACTCCATAGTGAAATGGAGTTGTTGAGAGGAAGAATAGAGTGCTTCAAGAAATGGCTAGAGCCATACTTCACGGTAAGGATCTAGCAATACATTTCTGGGGTGAAGCTACTAACACCACGTGCCACATAATAAATAGGGTATACTTGAGATCGAATTCAGACAAGACTCCTTATGAGATCTGGAAAGGCAAAAAGCCTACTGTTAAATACTTTCGGGTGTTTGGCAGCAAGTGTTACATTCTGAGGGATAGAGAAAATCTAGGCAAGTTTGATTCCAAAGTGATGATGGGATTTTTCTAGGATATTCTAAGAACAGTAGAGCATACCGAGTTTACAACTTGCGTACTCAGAGTGTCTTGGAATCTGTAAATGTTGTTATTGATGATCCCTTTACTGGGGGGAGAGTGCTAAAAATGGAGTTGACATAGAAGATCTAAGTGAAGATCAAGGAGCCACTGCTGAAAATAAAGAGCAATCAATCCCAAAATCTCCACTCTCCTCAGAAAACTTATCTGAGCAGTGTGTACCCAATTGGGATCAATCTAAGCTTCCCGGAGAACCATCTTCTAGGGTCAAATCTAATCATCCTAAGGTTAACATCATTGGGGATTTGGATGAAGAAATGAGGTTACGAAAGAGAGTTTTAAATAACCTAACATATACTAGCTATGTATCCCAGATTGAACCTAAGAAAGTAGAGGAAGCCCTTAGAGATGAATGCTAGGTGAATGCCATGCATGAGGAGCTTAAACAATTCGTTCGAAATAATATTTGGAATCTAGTTCCTAGGCCTGATGACTCTAATGTGAGGTACTAAGTGGATTTTCAACAACAAAGCCGATGACGAAGATACTATAACTAGAAATAAGGGTAGACCAGTTGCCCAGGGGTACACTTAGGTAGAAGGGGTAGATTTTGATGAGACTTTTGCCCCAATTGCTCGTCTTGAGTCCATTCGTCTTCTTCTTACAGTTGCATGTACCTTAGGTTTCAAGCTATATCAAATAGATGTTAAGAGTGCATTCTTGAATGGAATACTCCAAGAAGAGGTGTATGTTAAACAACCGAAGGATTCATTGACCCTAAGTTTCCTCATTATGTCTACAAACTAAATAAAGCATTGTATGGTCTGAAACAAGCTCCTAGAGCTTGGTATGACAGTCTCATCACTTATCTTGTTGAGCATGGGTTCTCACGAGGTGGTGCTGACAGAATCTTATTCATTAGACATATTGAATAAACTATCACTGTAGCTCAGATCTATGTCGATGACATCATCTTTGGCTCTCCCATTGGCTCCCTTGCTCTCAAATTTGCTGAATGCACGAAACAAGAATTTGAAATGAGCATGGTTGGAGAGCTAAGTTACTTCCTTGGTCTTCAAGTAAAGCAAACTGATTGTGGTCTATTTATCTCTCAATCAAAATATGCCAAAGACCTTGTGAAGAGATTTGGCTTGGACAGTAAGAAACACACAAGGACACCCATGAGCACAAATGTTAAGTTAGGACATGATCCTATAGGTAAAAGTGTTGATCAGGCTGTGTATAGGAGCATGATAGGCAATTTACTATATCTTACAGCCAGTAGACCTGACATAGCGTTTAGTTTTGGTGTATGTGCTAGATTTCAAGCTGATCCTAAGGAGTCCCATCTAAGTGTAGTGAGGCGCATTATTAGATATGTCAATGGGACAGTAGATCATGGGATCTTATATTCCAGAGAGTCTAATCTAGAACCAGTCGGCTATTTTGATGCCGATTAGGTCGGAAACGCCGACGATAGAAAAAGTACCTCGGGTGGATGTTTCTATATTGGTTCTAATCTTGTCTCCTGGATGAGTAAGAAATAAAACTCAGTCTCCTTGTCCATAGCTGAGGCAGAATACATTGCAGCTGGTAGCTGTTGCACTCAACAGCTTTGGATGAAGCAAATGTTGAGTGACTATGGGATAAATCAGGGTACTATAAATGTTTTCAGTGACAATACTAGTGCTATCAACATAACAAAAAATTCGGTTCAACATTCTAGGACCAAACACATTGACATTCGCCATCACTTTATTTGAGAGCTTGTTGAGTCCAATGTACTATCTCTTGAACACATCTCTACTGAAAAATCAACTTGCTAATCTGTTTACTAAACCTCTAGATGGGTTTAGATTCGAGTTATTTAAGAAGGCTGTTGGCATCTGTGTTCCTCCCTGATCGTCTTCATAGATGCATGCATTCTTTTATGCATTCATTACATTGCCTCTGTGTATTCATTTGCATCTGTCTTTCTTTTTGATAAATAAAAATAAATAAATAAAACAATAAAAATAAAATAATGATAATAAAAGGGGGGATTGATCATCACGTATCATTTTTGCATTGTAGTTGTTTACTCGGAGTTGCAATTTGAAATCAAATGTGCATTCTACACATAATTAGTTTCTAATTCCCATCACTTATCATGAGTCTATATGGAGTACTTAGTATATGTCACTTCTTATTATATTTGCACAACACACACTAAGACCGTGTGAGTGAGTCTTGACCGCATGTATGAGACTTGGGATGACTATCATCTATCGTTGAGTCTTAACTTCTGGTGTACCCCGAGTGTTTCCACAGAGTATTTATTATATCACATCTTATATCTATATTCGGAGCCTAGATGACTCGAGCAATTAAGTTTGAGGGGTTTCTCATAACCTGGTACCCTAAAGCCAACTAGTTTGGGAGTCACCGACCTAATGCTCGTTATAGGGGTCTTCGTAGTAGCTTAATGGAGATGGGATTGCACGTAAGATTAAAAAAAAAATAATAATAATAATATATATATATATATATATATATATCCATATTTTAAACGAAGTATAGGTCCTAGTGGCCTTGGATTTGACCTTCAAACATCTAAGTGTTGACTCCTACGTCAGTGATTTGGTCGTCTCTTCTCACAAATTTAAGGTTTTGAGCCTTACTTGCTTGGAATGAGTAGCACGTTTTGCGAGGAATCACATATACAATTTACTCCATTTGTACTTGGTCCCAGTGTGTGGGGAAACATTTTCTAATCACTGTGCATGCTGTATTTGTGATCTATTACCTTTGATTGGACAACTGCCTCTGCATTGTTTGTGTATTTTAAATTTAAAAAAAAACAAAAAAAAAAAATTTGGGGCCTAAATTCAAATTTCTGAGAAAGGTGCTATTTTTGAAATTTTCTAAAGTTCTTTTACTTTGCAAAGTTTTAAACTTGTGCCTAACTTTTCAAATTTTCAAGTTTAGGTGCTATTTTTGTCATTTCCCCTTCGCTCGTTTGTCGCTGGGAGCTCGCTCGAACAATAGAAGCAGAGCCTTTGTCGCTCGCTATTTGCTCGAGTGATAGTGCGACTTTTAATTTTCTCGCGAAGGTTCCGTCTCATTTTTTTTTCATTTCTTCCCATATCTCTCTCGCTTTCTCTCTCAAATCGACACTCTTTGGTCGATTTTCCCTTGATTTCTCACGTGTGGAGCTTCCATTCCTCTTCCTTGTGTGCATTCCTTGATGATTCATTCCTCCCATTTGGTAAGTGCTTTGATTTCCCGTTTGTTTATTGGTTGTTTTTTATTTTTCTCTTCACCATTTGGTTACTTTAGGCTTGGGTGTTTTTGGTATGCTGGGTAGATGATGTTGTTATGGTTTGGTAGGTGTCTATTGCATTATTACATTTGTAGCTTATCTTTCTTGTGCCTACAATGTGTTCGATGAAATGTCTCCTCACCATAACCCTTCTTCTCTTGCCCATTGTGTGCAATTCCTCATGTGTGATTGGTGTCTTAGATACTAAATATGTGAGTTAATTATTTATTTGATCTTATTTCCAATAACGTGATGTGCACACTTCTCCTATTAATTCATAAAACTTCAGACCAATCACCTAACAAATCGGTGCTTACACTTCTCCGTTATTGCATGTCCTACGTTTGGAGGGTTGTTTGAAATAGGACTCATCAATTCTTAATAAATATTGGAAGTTTTTATGTGTGTCAAAATCTCATCTTGATCTTGTTCATGTCTAGTTCACGTCACTTCCGTCTTGGTCATTGTCCTCGGACTTGTGTATGATTACCCTTTAGGGCTTGTATAATCATGTGTCTCCATTACTTCGTTTTCCTTGGGGATTGATTTATCTTCTATATCTTGCATTGCAGATGGCACCCAAGAGGGCTAGGACCACAACTCAGCCTGGTAGTAGATCGGGTTCGTTTAGTCGTTCTCGATTCATTTTCTCTACTGCTCAAGAAGTCTTTGGGAACAAGTTTTCCCGTCGTCCTGTCCTCATAGAGCGTGAGGTTACTCTATTCGACCTATCCCCTGATGTGGCAGCTATCTTTACTTCTCGAGGTTAGGAATCCTTACTGATTGGGTTAAGTCCCCCGCATAGTCTTTTTGTTTAGGAGTTCTATGCGAACATCCATGACATTAGTGGTTCTTCCTTCCGGGTGTTCCTTCAAGGTCAAACCCTTAGGGTTTCACCAGATGTTATTTCCAGTTTCATACATGTTCCCCGGGTCATTCACCCCGTTTATCCATATCTCTCTCCTGATTCTATTCCGGTCGATTCTCTGGTTCGGTCCACTTTGTTTAATAGCCCTTTGGGAGGTGGGCCTGAGGTGATCCACACTGGTTTGCTCTCCACTGATAGGCAGATTTTGTTGCGCATTGTGTGTACAAATCTGTGGCCCGTCTCTCACACTTCTTCCCTACCTATGGAAAAGGCAAGGTTTCTTTTTGCTTTACTGCATGGGGATTTGATTGACCTACGTATCTTCATTTTCCAACACATTCTGCGTACCTTTCGCACTTTCGATCATCGGATTGGTCTGTCTTATGCTTGCTTGATCCACCGCTTGGTGACATCACTTGGAGCTTCATTTCCCGATGGGGTCTCACGACGAGTGTTTCGTCCCATAGGGCACACTACCATTTCTCAAAGTAGGTCACATATCACTTCTTCTACCTCTGCATCTGCTCTTGCTCAGCCAGCTGAGCCTGTTGACCCGACAGTGCCTGTTGATCCTTTGGGTGCTTTACTTGCTAATTTCTCAGCTATTCCTCTACCTCCTTTCGATGTTCCTCTGTCCACTTCAGATATTCCCTCTTCTTCTACTTCCATTCTACCACTCGACCAGCTTGCTCTGGCTACTGTTCCTATTGACCCCACTGTTGCGCTTATGGGTCAGATGTCGATTCTCATTGAGCAGAAGGCCGCATGATGGCCGACATTACTCAGTTACGAGCTGCTTTCGAGCGTCATACTGTGGAGTTTACTACATTGCGAGGGGCTATTGCTCTTGTTTAGCATAGTATTCGATGGATGTGCGAGCATTGGGATTATGAGTCTGACGCTAAGGTTTCTGAGGACGTGGATGGTGGAGATGATGGTGTTAATTTTTGGGATTTATAATGATGAAGTACTTTTATAATGTACTATTGATATTTTTGCTGGATTATGTATTGATGTTTTGCACTATTGATGTATGTTTTTGGTGGTTTGATTTACATTGATATTATCTCTTAATCTAGCATATTGGTATAATGTTATGGCTATTCATGACTCTTTATCTTTTATGTTTGCTTATATTACTGTTTCTCGTGCTTTTACACTGTGTATGTGAGTTGTGATTTCAGGAGACAGGTTGAAAGATGACAAAGCAACAGTGAGTTGAGTCAGTGTATTGGATTGTCATTGTAGTTCATACTGTTGTAATTTAGTTTTGTCATAGAATGCTAAAGGGGGAGTTTGTTAGATTTTGTGTTGGCTATTCTGTGAACAAAAGAGTAAAATTGTAAATGTTCAAAAGTTTGGGGTCAATTTGTCAATAATTAAATGTTAGGGGTCATTATGTACATGTGTAAAAGATGAGGGACTCAGTTACAATTTTGGAAAATTGTGCTAGAGTTCGAGCTATGAAATAGGGCAAGATATGTCATTAAAATTTTGCCAGTTGCTTGCCAAGTGGTCGCTCGAGCGACAAAAATAGAATGGTCGTCGCTCGCTTCTCGCCCCCACATTTCTCGAGCGAAACAATGTCGCTTGCTTTTCGCTCGAGTGACAGTGTTACCATAAAACCATATTTTCCTTTTTTCGACATTTTAACCCAACCAAAAATATCCAAATACACATATATGAGAAAAATCGCGCCGATTTTGAGTTGTGCTCTCAAGGTATTGAAATTGAAGAAAACTCTTCTACACTTTAATTCTCTCATTCAACCCCATATTTGATTTGAGCAATTACATGAAAAATATCAAATCAACATTCACCAAACACCACAACACTACCTTCTAGTGCCTTTGTTGATTCTTGGAGATTAAGGAAGGAGATCGGAGTCCCGATCATTAGAGAACGGGCGGTTCTCATGAATCCACAGGAGATAGACAAAATCAAGACTCGAAAATTGGTGTAACACGCAATCCAGGAGGGCTAGGTGCCGAGAGTTAGTGCAGGATCACGCATTCCAAGAAGGCCTTGGGGAAACTATGTTTAGGATGTTAGAAAAACCAGTGTAGGTTGAGTCTGGCTGATTGTAAGTTTCGTTTTCGTTTATAGTGGATTCCTACTGACTTGGGCCCGAAGTTTTACCCACATTGGGTTTCTCCCGTCATTATATCTTTCTGCAATTAAAAAAAAAAAGAATATTGTTGGAATGTATAAAAATTTTCACTCTGCAAATTTAAATATGCTCAAAGAGACTATCTAAATTTACTGATTTCTTCTCATATTTTATTTAACGA